TTTTTTTCCCTTTCAACCACCACTACCTCTGTCACTCTTGGGAAAAGTGGAAAACCTGGTTGTTTTCCCACTTTTTTTGAACCTTTTGGGGGTCTGCGGAGGATCGGCAGTTGGGCTTTGTATATCTCTCACTCTCTGGGGGTGCCTGGTCTCAAGCTAGGTCCATGTACAGCCAGGGGTTCCAGCATTTGTAAAACGCTGGCTGGACCCTCAGGAACAGCAAATTTTGACGAGTTTTGGACCAAAAAACTCAGTTTCAGTTTCTTTCAAAAAAAAAAATCATTGAAAAATGTCCATTTTGACGAAATGGCAGTTGTTTAGCAAAAAAAACCGCTTGTGTGAGTATGCCCTGAGTTGTTCTTTTGCTTCTTTTTTTTTTTACCCAAGGGGCAGCCAGTGTCGTATGATCGGCACTCTGGCCTGGTTCATACGACGGCTGCTTATGAATTATACAAGCCGGAAAATGGGTCCAGCATCCCTCACAGTGGGTGCATTTTGGACCCCGCCCTAACCGGCAGTGATCAGGGATTCAAGGAGTATTTAGGAATACTGGTAGCACTGGTAGGTAACTAGGTAATAAAGAAGACTGTGAGGGAAGATAATAGCTAAGACAGAGGGGAAGGGGGGGGGGGGGGGGGGGGGGAGGAGGGAGGGGTGAGTAAAAAAAAAACGAAAAAAGAGAAAAGCCGCCCAATGGAACCAGCAGGCCTGCCAAAACCACTTGAAGTTCTTGTTTTATCACCCCCCCAAATTTTGCTGGTTGCCCAGAAAGGGCCCACAGGCATTGCAGGCAGTCCGATGTTAAAATCTGGCGGTCAGGATTCTATCCCACCCACTCAGTAGCATCTTTCTTCCGGATGATGAACCTGGTGCCTTATGTGAGCAAGATTCATATTCAGGTAGGCCCTTTTCTCCAACAGGCAAAGTTTGGGTGCAGTAAACCAAAACAATTTTCGCCTGGGGTACATTACCAATTATCCCAACTAGAGGGGTGGAGAGCCTTCTTACAAGTTCAGCATTATTATTATTTTGTAATGACCCGCCAAAAACACAGACTGAGAACACTACTGATTTCTGGGATTTGCCACTGGAATGAATGCCTTGCTGTGATTCCCGCATTCTGCTGTGTTTTCCAAGTCTGTGTGTGTGTGCGTGCCTGCCCGTTTGCATGCCTGTCTGAATGCTTGTTGGTTGAGTGTGTGTGTGACCCGCAAGGGTACTAGTTGGTTGCAAGGCCCCGCAGGGCCGGTACTTACCTGTGGCCGTGACTTTGAGGGTTGCAGGGGGGTAAACACTCAGGTAGCGGGGGGTAGGCCCACGGCACTTRGAGCAGCTGGGGRAAAACACTMRARTAGCAGGTAGGCCGAGCAGAAGAAGACAAAAAGTTGGCATTTTTAGAGGCCCAGTAGCGGTAGGCTAGAGGTAGGCCGGTACCAGTCCAAGTAGCCCGGGTCTAGGGCCTGTSCGGACAATAACAGAGCCTGCAATGATGTTTCCCTCCGAAAGGGAGAGGTACCGGTTGCTGGGAGGCCGCTCGGCCTAGGAAGTCACCGCCCAGGAGGCYGGTAGACCGCTATATCTTCAGGAAGAGCGAAGAGCTCTTCCTCATTTGCGGTATGCAAGGATCGGCGACATGCTGCTGGAGCGCTAGCGCTGGTCTGCTACAGCGCTGGGTGGAGGTGAAGGTACCTGGGCGCTCAGCCTGGCTATGGCGAGCAGCCCAGTGTGAGGAGGAGGAAGAAGGAGGTTGAGGGAGAGAGTGGCGAGGCACGTACCTGGCTATCGTAGACACCATCTTCATCACTTGGTTGGGCGCTGCATCTGGAAGGCCCCGGTTGGGGTAGTGCGGCACCTGGGGGAAGCTCGAGGCAGAGGCAGGCATAGCGGATCAAGCCAGCAGCGGCATAGCTGCTTTGAGTGGTCCTTTGGGCATCAGGGCCAGGCCCTCATTAGTCCGCCATAGCCTATGCTTGAGAGAGGAGGCTGAAGGAGGGAATCCATAGCTGTGGTGGACTGGTTGTTGTTGTTGTTGTTGAGTTGAGTCAACAGTAAGAGGGAACTTCGGATATTGATTCTGGTTCATCCATTCATTGTTATTATTATTATTGAGAGAAGAATAAGATTGGTGAAGAGAAGGAGGAGGAGGAAGGTGGAGAGAGAAGGGGGAATTGTCATTGGTCTTGCTGGTGTACTTCTTCTTCTTCTTTACCTCTCCTCTGGTCTTTATCTCTTTGCAAGTGCTTTCATTTCTTTCGCAATTGGGTGGCATTGTCTTTCATTGTGAATTTGCACTTGAGATGACCAGGATCGTAACAATTTTTTTTTTTTAACACTGTGTTCTTCTCTCAAATTCTTTTTTTAAGTTCAGCATTATACGCAGGCCAAACAGTCCACTTTCTTTTTTTTCTTTTTTTTTTTGGGCATATTTTCGAAATGCCCTTCCGACTGCCATTTATTTGCAGTATGCCCCTCCGACAGCTGACTTACCCTGTCGCGCCCCTCTGACAATGGTTGAAGTTTCCGACAAACCCCTGGCATCATTTGGGCATACGTTCAATATGCCCCTACCAGTATCAGTTCCAAATTACAGTATTCCCCTGTAGCTCCCCTCCCAGGGCCGGCCGCGAGTTCACTCAATGGCCACAGGGGCATTCTGGAAAGTTGCACCCTCACCAATTTCCATTTTTTTTATAGGGGAAATTTTTGAAATGCCCCTCTGACTTCCATTTAATATTTCAATTTTGCGATCTCCCACTCCCATGGCATGCTCCTGGGGCCTCTGAAGTTTCCTGCAGGCCCCTGTCAGTGAGGGGTGCAACTTTCCAGCATGCCCTTGTGGCAGTTGGTGACACTCGCGGCTGTCCCGCTGGCCCTCAGAGCTACGGGAACAAATTGGAAGTTTGGAACCGGTATCTGTACCGGCATATCGTCCATATTTCTTTCCCTTTTTCTTTTTTTTCTTTTCTTTTTTTTTCTTCCATTGACCAGATTTCAGGCCCAAATTAGGCCAGGTTTTTTTTGGAAACTTTTCAATCCATACCTTTCTCGGCCTTTCGGCTAATTCTGATCAGTTTAATATCTGATCCGTGACCCATCGATCCTCGTCAGAGGGGTGGGACAGAGTAAGTCGCCCATCACAGGGGCATGCCGCACATAAATGGTAGTCAGAGGCATTTTGAAAATTTTCCCTCTTTTTTGAAGACAAGAAAAAAAAAAACATAAACAAAAACAGCCTCGGGGTACCAGGTGGGGTAATACAGGCCACTTAGAATTCCCATGGTGCACTAATTGAGTATGGCACGTATCAGCATCCCTCGCACCTGTTCGGGTGGTTTTATTTAATAATAATAATAATAATAATTAATAAAAAAAAAAAGAAAAAAAAAAAGCATGGCATGTCCATATGGCTGTACTGTTTCACTTTCTTCCTTTTTTGCACTTTCATGTTCCCTTAAGGGCGTTAACCGTTCGACCTTCCACCTTTCCTCAGGCACATCCCTGTTGCTCTGTCTATAGCTATGAGTCTATGACTGCAGGTCTTTAACACCCTGGTCACCCAACCTCGTCTATCTATCGTGGAGGACGACCCTACAGTCTTCCCCCGAATACAACGTACGGTCATTATAGCTGAATTTAGACTGAAAGATACACCAAATTCAGCTATAATGACCGTACGTTGTATTCGGGGGAAGACTGTATTAAGCTTGTGGACAGCAGTCCCGGGCAGCAGCGATACCATCTTCAACCGATAGAACGCCCGGTCATTATAGCTGCATCTGGACTCAAAATGGTACCAGATCCGGCTATAATGACCGGGTAGGCAGGCACTACAGCCTCAGTTGAAACACTATAGACGCTGCCCCGTCGAGAGGGAACGATCGGCCACTACCTTCTTCACCCGAATACAACGTACGGTCATAATTATGGCTGTACCTGGACAGAAAGCTGCCTCAAATGCAGCTATAATGACCGAACGTAACGGTACGTTGTATTCGGGTGAAGAGGGTAGGCATGATGAGCCCCCATGACTCCATGAGTGAATCGAGTGCCCCTGTCAGAGGTCTGTGCCTAGACTACTCCTACTCGGGCTACCACAGGCAATGCCAAATGAATATCTAGCCAGCCTATGACAGCCTACCCTCAGCTCTTCGCCCTTCGCACTGTTCGCAGCACTGCCGCAATCTACTACTTATTGAATTTCCCTTACTGAGCTTGTCTGTAGTTTGCCAGGTTGTGCATATCCCATTGTTTAGCTTATGTATGCGGTTCATAGAAAGAGACCCATCTGTCTGACTGCATCGACGTGGGATAGAAAGACCGCATACATAAGCTATGTATGCATATCCCATTGTTAAGCTTATGTATGCGGGCTCTGTATTCTGCACCAATCTGCTGTCACGTGATGCGGGCCATAGAAAGAGACCCATCTATCTGACTGCATCGACGAATGATCGGCATCACTCCACGCAGGCAGACCGAGCGATCCGTTTCTATGACCTGGCCCCCACTTTAAGACTTAAACGAAGTCCTCAAAGTCCCAAAATCAACCATCCTGAGACCTGGCCAGCCTTTACACCATGGGCGTGCACTTCTGATGCAAGGAGGAGAAGGAGGAGGAGGAGGAGGAAGAAGAAGAAGAAGAAGAAGAAGAAGAAGAAGAAGAAGAAGAAGAAGAAGAAGAAGAAGAAGACATTAAGAAAGAATGAGCAACTAGGAGGTGAAGAAGAAGAAGAGGAAGACATCCAAATAGAAGTAAGGCAATGAGCAACTAGGAGGTCCTAAGGAGAACAGGAAAGAATGAACACAAGCAAGACAAAGAGAACAGCAATTGATACCCAAGGCAGCTCCTTAAACAAGATTACCATCATACCCATGACAACAGATTAAAAAATATTCTTATTCAAGAGGCATATCAAGAAGAAGAAGAAGAAGAAGAAGAAGAAGGAGACAACTAATTCCTGGCATGGATCGGATAACTTCAACCGCGAGAAAAAAGCACCGTACTGGTAGGGTTGCCTAGCCACCATAGCCACCATAGCCACCATAGCCACCATAGCCATGGCCCATGGCCCAAGGGCATGATGATGGTCACTTACATCAATGGTCCATCACGATCCTTCTGTTCATGGTTGACGTCAACCATGACCATGCGCTAAGGATTCGCAACCTTATCTCGAAGAAGGCCGAGGTAACAAACTTAAAGAAGAACAAGGGTGATGATCGAGAGGGGGCGGCTGCAGACATGCGTGGAAAAGCCTCAGGCATAACACACTCCTCCCCCATGAAAAGTACACTCTTGGGAAACGCCCCAGGCAGAACTGTGTATAGTCCACTTCGAGAATCAAGAACCGTGAGCCCAACAGAAGCAGCAGCAGAAGCAGCAGAAGAAGAAGAAGAAGAAGAAGAAGAAGGACGAGCCGTCTTGTTGAAGTATGCCCGCCATTGAACATTACCGGGCTCTGTCAGGTTCTGCTCCAAGATGACATCGTTGAAGAGTTCGAAGCCCAAAAAAACTAAGTCCTTGTTAGACTCCGTAGAGGTCCAGTTCACCGTATCTGCGAAAGATAGCATTGAGGCGACGCCAGGAGCATACTCCAAGACCAAGTACCAGTCGGGGATACGAACTTCGCGAGCATTGGCTATGGCGACCTGCAGTGTCCATCCGTTCTCATCAGCCTGCTGAATATGCAAGTGCACAGTCACACCGCACCCCGAGCCACATCTGCCGGGGACCATGACTGCTCCTTTCCCTCTTCCTCCTCCGGTCGACTTGAGGTCTTGCACGTTAGCTTGTCTTCCCACTCTCACCTCCTCCTCCTCCTCCTCCTCCTCCTTTTGCTTTGCTCCGAGCAATAAGAGCGAGGCAGGAGTGGGGCGTGCCGGGGTCCCGACGATGCACTGCGAGTTCTGCTCCGACGCAGCGCAGCCGCACACACATGTGGTGCACGGAGACGCGTCCTTGCGTTGACTGTAGAAGGCGGAAATGGACGTGCAGCACCTCTTTCTTGCCAGGACCTCAGGTCTGGGCCCACACGAGATGGTCCACGTCGCTATCGCCTGCACCGCCTGCCGGCTCCAGTTAAACGCGGGAAAAAGTGTGGGCTCTGCAATTCGCTGAGGAGTGCTGCAGTCGTATCCCTGCAGTCCGATGGCGAAATCCGACGGCAGAGTCAACGCGTTGACATCCCAATACGCGCGTGGTTTGCCAGCCTTGAAGCCAATCTCGGCGATGCTATTTTTAGCATCCAAAGCCGGGGCTGCAAGCGATCCGTTCTTCTTCGTCTTATCCAGAAAAACAGGCCTAGGATCGCAAGAATAGGCCCCAGTCAGGTTCTTGAAGTCGCTAGCTGCAGGCGTACGGGTGCAATCAGCCCTCAAGGTGGTTTCACAGTCGTCACAAGACCATAGGAACTCCCCTTGCTCCCATGCAAACGACAACCGCCACCCCGGCTCGCTGGGAATGACCACGTACTTCTGCTGATTCTCGATCCGGATGCGGACGTCGTAATCCGTTAGTCTGGAGCGGACGACGTCCCAGCGAATGAGAATGCCAGAATAGAGAGAGTAGTTCTGCTCCCTGGGCGACGATCCGTCAGCCTCAGGTTGGGGGGCAACAAGGACCTGGGGTGGTCGTTGACGACAACAGATTCTGACCATGTATGGCGCCGGCTGCTCGAGATCCGAAGGGTCACATGATACCCCTCCATCGGCCGCCGTCAGATTGATCATGGAAGGGAAATGAGGGATCCTACGGCTAGGGACGCCCAGCTCTGTGCCTTCGATGTTTGCCAGATGACCCGAGAACTCTTTTGTGCGATCGAAAGCTGACGTCAACGGCTCGAGGTTCGGTCGGTAAACGGGCGAATGAAGCTGCAGCCCAAGTCCGGCAACGGGCAGACTAGTGTCCCTAGGGAGCCTTAGGTTGGTGACATTGGTGATGAACTCGTTATGAACGTAGCCGAAGGTCACAGACCAGTCTTTCAACACTCGTGTGCCTCCATTGCGGACAAGAAAGAGTACCTCGAAGACGTAGAGACCGGGCCTGCTGGACTCCTTGAAGCTATTGACGAAGTACTCCGCCATGATCCCGTTGCACCGAGCTTGCAAAGCGGGAGAGGCAAGGGCTTCGTCGAGCTCACTAGGGGCGGTGGTGCTGCTGGATGAAGTAGCAAGAAGACTGGAGACGGTCCCCGATCCCAACGAGGAGGGGGTGGAAGAGCCGGTGCGAGAGGGGGTCAAGGAGGAGGAGGTGGTGGTAGAGGGGAGCGTGAAGGAGGTAGACAAGGATGGGTCCAACGCAGCAAAGGGGGAGTCTTCCGCCGGCGCCTTCGACTGCTTCTGCAGTCGTCGCCTCACCGGGATCGCGACATCTGTTTTATCCGTTGACTTCGACTCCGTTCCCGAACTCTCTGTTGTGCCTGTTCCTGTCTCTGTTCCCGCTGACGAACCTGCGACCGAACCTTGTCGAGGACCAGGACCAGGAACAGGAACTAGTCCTGTTCCTGGAGCGTGTTTTTGTCCGTCTTGGATTGCTGTCAGATGTCCTCCCTCCTCAGAGAGTACGTCTCCGGCCTTCAGAATGTCCGTCAGACTGTCCGTCTGATTGCAGGCTTTGCAGCCCCACACTGTTCGTCCTGGTCCTGCAACTGTTCCTGGTCCTGCTTCTCCTCGTCGTCCAGTTCCTGATTCTGGACCTCGTCCTTCTTCTGGTCCAGTTCCTGCCACTGGACCAGGTCCTTCTTCTGCTCCTCCTATTGTACCTGCCACTGTTCCTGATTCCGTTTCTGCTCCCACTCCAGTTCCAGCCACCGTTGCTTTTCTTGCTTCTGGTCCAGCTTCTGGTCCTGGTCCAGCTTCAGCCACTGTTCCTGGTCCTGCTTCTGGTCCTGTCCCTGGTAAACGTCCTGGACCAGCTTCAGCATCTGTCCGCTCAGTGCCGCCGGTTGTGGTCTCGTTTTTCTGACGGTTCGTTCCATCCGGGTTTACGCTGTTCAGAGTCTTCAGACCAACTGCTACTGCTTCTCCTCCTGCTCCATCCGCTTTTCGGACTCTTCCTGCGACGGTTCGATCATTCGAGTACAGACAGACTGAGTACAGTCATCAGTGACTCGTCACTTTCTGACAGGGAACAGCATACATAATGATTGCAAAAAAACAAAAAAAGGCAGAGGACGTTGACTTCAAGCAAATTCTCATGCTTATCTAGTACTTTATACTATAATAATGGCCTCCCTCCGCTACACAACACTCTACATGAATGCGGACGCTTTGTCGACCAGGTGCATTCGGACGAGTCTAGCATTTCGAATGTATCGGGTCCAAAACCGCCCTAATGCATGTACTAGAGTAGTAGAGTGTTGTGCTCCACCCACTACACACAACCGACCAGCCATCCCCCACCACATACCACCAAATGCTACCCAGCAAATACGACGCAACTCCCACCACCCACCACACACCACACACCACCCACCACCCACCACCCACCAC